CCACAACATCCACAATGCCTGAAGGACAAGGTAAGAAGCACAGGACTGGGGGAGGGGTTTTTGCTAAAAGGCATCCAGACAGTAAAACTGCAAAAAAACAGGTGATGAGAAAGACCCTTTTGTTTTAAGTTCACTTAGTTTATTAAGTTAGGTATTAGTTTGTGTTTTATTTTATATTTCTTCAAAACCAATTCTAACTTTTATGCCTCATTACTTGCAATCACTTAAAATCTAACTTTCTGTTAATAAACTTGTTTGTTTTAACTAAACCAGTGTGTATTTGGATTGAAGTGTTTGGGAAACTCAATTTGAGATAACAAGGTTTGTGATTATAATTTTCTAATAATGAAATAAACTTCCTATGAGCTTGTGTTGTCCAGGAAAATACTGGGCAGTACAAGACACACATTTCTAGGGACAGGTCTGGGACTGGGAATTTGCTGGTGTTACTCTGTAATATAATTCAGGAGTCACTGGCTAGAGCACTCATATATAATACAGCTGGGAGTAATTTACATGTTAGAGTCTGTTTGAGAGCAGACCAGTAATGGTCACTTTCACAGCACAGCAGTGTAAAAAAGGTACCCCAGGTTGGAGAATTGAGGGATACAGCTGTTCAACACATAGAATGTCACACATAGAAATGCTTTCCCTCTCCAACCTATTATCAATTACAAAAAGTCTAATTATAAATAAACTCTGCAAGTCTTTTCTATGTCTTTTTGTTTTAATACCTCAGGCTTTCCCCTCTACCTATATTTATTTTTACTAATTTAGGCATTTGATTGTTTGCAGGCTATATGCAGTGTGTTTGTAGAGAATTATCTTGTAATTAGATTGGGTGCCAAGAGAACCTATTAAGGCAGAGTTGTCCCATTACAGTGTTTGTGTGTCTAGGTAAAATAAATTTAATAAATGTGTGCATTAATCCTTTTAGGTGTGGGAATCTATTGAAATCCATTTTACATCCTGTTCTCTACTGAGGGAGCACTTATAGTATTTAAAATATGTAGAAGAAACATTTTTGTAAAATTAAAAGACAAACATCTTTACAGTAGGATTCCTCATCCATACCTATTTACACCCTTATCTAGCAAAACAGAAACTTAGAAATAAAACATATGAATTTAGAACATAGTTCTCATAATGCATTATAAACATGAGTTTAATCCAAGATCTAGCATGTTGTTCAATTACCTTTAATAAGTAGGTAGGGTACTATTTTTATATTGTACCATTTTTGTGGATTTAAATGTTTTAAATTTGGAGTGAAAACAGTTTATTATTTCTAATTACAAACAGCATTAGATTTATTGTCCTACTTCAAACATGGGAAGTCAGGTTTAATAAAAATGGCTCACTAGAAATTGTGCATGCAAGGTTATTTTGGAGGAAAGCTAAAGCTTCTTTGGGAAGAGAAAGGGGGTAACTTCAGCATAGATTACAGAATATCAGTACTACATTTAAGAGGTGGCAGATGAAGATTTTCTAATACAGAACTGACTGAGTTCAGGGATCCCACTCCTTCTGCCTATACCGGTACTGAAATATCCACAAGACTAACACTGCTTTTACAACGTTTCGATCATTTGGTGTATACTCATCTTGAGATTTTCTGTTTCTCCATGGAAACCTGTAATAGCTGTTATGGGAACCCCTATCTTTCTGACCTGAATTCAAAGCCAAAGTTGTTACGCAAGGTATTCCAGGATGTACTAAATTAGAGAAGGCCTTGAGGGGAGAGGGTGTGGAGGGAGATCCTCAGTACATTGGCAATGGAGCTATGATAATTTACACAAGCTTTAATGCAGACAAAAAGGACAAGTTGCCAGCTTCTTCTACTTGATCACTTAGATCAATGGTTTTCAACCTGTGAACCCATGGGAGTCCGCAGACTTTGTCTATGGGGTCCACAAAAGGTTGTCATTACCATAGAACAGTGGTCCATGGACCCCGGGAGTCTGCAGACTATGTTCAGTATTTCCAAAGGGGTCCGCATCTCCATTTGAATTTTTTTTAGGGGTCTGCAAATGAGAAAAGGTTGAAAACCACTGGTTTAGATATTATCAGTATCATGTTTCACCAGTGCTTCAAATTTTTGTCGAAAAGGCTGCATACTCTTTCAGAGGCACAGTGGCACAAGTTCTGTAAATTTCTGGTTTTTACCAGTAAGGAGATATTTTACATCTCCAGTATATTCTATAAGGGGACAATTTGAAGGATTTTCCAAAATCAGATTTTGTAGTCAGATAGAATAATGCTATGAATTAGCACATTATAAGTGATTAGAAGTCACCTGAAGTAAAAAGCTCCTAGTTTCTCTCATACTAAAGGTTCTCTGAGGTAAGTATATGCTGGAAGACCACAAAAACCACAGTGATTTTTACAGTTTGTACAAAAGGTGAGATCTCTTAATTTTAAATCCTAACCTTCTGTTGTCGCTGCTCTTAAAAGCCTTCACACCTATACTGGTTGCAGGTTTTCAATAAATGAAAATTTTCAGTTATCACTAACAATTTTTTTCAATAAAAATTTCCAAAAAAAAGTATTGAGAAAAGTACATGAAAAAATTGAAGAAAAAAAGGGGTGTGTGTAATATTGCTCAGGAGTAGTTTGGTATCCGAGATAACTCAGCCAATACATGGCTGACTCCAGCACTAAGAAGGAAAAATGGACTTGTTACAAGCGCTGTAAAATACTAGGCTTTTCTTACTTCTAAAATGATAGCAATTAAGTTAGTAGTTTAATTCTGGATATTTCAAAAGTGTCATTTCACAGTCCTAATGTAACAGTATGAAATCTCCTCCCCACAACCACATAATGAGAAATACTACACAATCTTTTGATAATGAAAAAGCTAAATTGGTATTTTTGCCGCTAATGGTTAGTGGGAATTTTACTATACAAATAGAGAAATCCAATACAAAGAATTTTTTAGTGACTTGCTATGTTAGGCGAACACTTAGGCATTAAATGTTTTGTCACTGAAGTTTATTTTAAATTGAGAGAATTATCAAGATTAATCCCCTGAAGCACAGATAAATAGGAAGTGCTGCCAAGATTTACTATAGTGTATATCAATCCAATTTCTCTGAGAGGCAGAGGCCAATCAACAACACTTGATTCACAAAGAAAATTCTGGCATCTCTTTTAAGCTTAAAATAATATACAGTAACTCATTTTACTAAATATAGCCTGGCTTGATCTCCTAGTACTAGTGCTGTGCACTGCTAAAGCAGAGACCAAGATTCAGTTCTTTGCTCTAGTCTCCCATTCTCTGGGCTAACAAAGGATAGGAATGCTTCCAAGGCTGCATGCTTTACCATGGAGAAAAGGGGAGAAAAGGAAGCTTCTTGCTTTATTCACGAATGCCCCCCTCCTGACAAGAGAAAAGCAAGGTTGACTGGGTACAAAGAGCGGCACAGAAGGTAGTGGCCACAACTTGACTGAAAATGATTCTTCATTGCTCAAGCAGAAGCTATTCCAGGAATGGAGAAGACAAATAAAGGAATAAAAAGGATATATGCTTATATATAATCAGATCAACATTGAGCCCAAATGGTTAATTTTTTCAATGTAGATGCCTAATTTGCACAGGCAAAATGCAGGTGTGTGCAAGTTATGTATGGAAAGCTCATTGATGTATGAAAAATGGGTAGTTTTGTGTATGCTTCTGCAAAAGTTGTAGATACAATTCAGACATATGGTAAAAAATTTAGCCTTTAATGCATAGATAAACTAGATTATCAGGATACACGTGGACCTAATCACATTTAATTATATTGATTTAAAGAATGAAATTTAATGATAAAATAATTGTGGTTGGATGTTTCCTAACTACCTATCACTCAAGTAAACATGATCTTATGTGCAAATATATAATTGAACAAGTTTCTTCAATTTAATGATTACTAAAAGAAAAAGCAGGTGAGATAACAGTAAATTTTCTATAACAAGCAATTATTTAAAAATTTAAATACTAGTGAGGTCAAACCAACAAATGCATTTTAATTAAAAAATGAAACCTCCATAAAACTATTTAGTAATTGCATGAATATTTCTGAATTAGTATTATAGTCATGTGAGTTTACTGTCTTGAAAGATATAGCAAAACTATGTAACTTACCAGAGACATAAACATTTGTCATTTTTAAGCAATGCCAAAAATTTTAATTGTGTGTGTTCATTCAAGACTTGCAAAGTTCTTTTCTTGATTCTGATATAAGGATGTTGTTCGCTTTTCGCAGAGATGTATGGTGGCTGTATAATTTGGTTTTTTGCCTCCAATTACATCAGAAATATTTATTTATCAGTAAAACTTTGTTTTTCAGATTTAATTATTGATCTCTGATTAACCATAGTTGAGTAGAACTATGTCATATATATGTATCAAGGCACAGTACTAGATTAAAATCTGAAGGCACTGTTATCCCATACAAGGTTAGGTATTGTGTGTCTTGAAACATATCAAGCACACAAGAATTTCCTCTAATTAGTATTAATACTCCTTGTGTAACTTAGAGACAGGACTATTTTTTGCCTATACTTTAAGTGGAAATATTATTATTACTACCGAGGTGAGGAAAGAATTTTCAGAGGGTGCTGTACATCTTAGACATGACTAGCTGAATTGTGAATGCCACCAAATTTTATCTTCTAAAAAGCAAAAATATGATGAAGATGGATCCCTTAAAAACAGTCAGGATATGTAGGTATGTAATTCACATTAATGCTAATGGGTGTTGCCAAAAGAACTTCTGGTCACTGATGGGTGGTAAAAAACAGATATCGAAAATAACTTATATTTACATGATCTAGTCTCTGAACAGGCACAATAAGTGCATTGACAATAATGGGAGTTATATTCATTTATCAAAAGGAGAATAGACCTACAAACAATATACAGATGTTTTGTAATATGTGCTTGTGCTATATAGAATATAGGCATTGTATGAGAGGACTTTACAATTTTCTTGGAAATATAAATAAATTTGACATACCATAACAGAGTCAAGTTTCTGCTTCACTTTCTGCATTCTCATAGATACTCTTGCAACACTGACAAATTGATTTGCTGGAGACATTGTTGAATCTTTCTGTGCAGAAATATGAGAAGAATTGCTAAGAATTTGTGGCCCTCTGGATGTTGTTGATGCGAGTGACCCATTGAGATCTTTTACTATTTCAGCCTCCTGCTGTGCAACTGCAGAAATAATCAACATTAACATTTTAAGTCAAGTCTTAATAGTTCCGTGAAACAAACCACACTGAGTTCATAGGTCATATTAAATTCTAAGGCTTTGCTGAACAAGATAAAGATAAATTATATATAAAAACCCTACATTAAAAGAAAGTTATTTAGGTTACATAGTTGAGTTAGGAAAGGCCAGTTTTACAATTGCCTAGGCAACCTTAATTCTGTCCCCATGTCCATGTAATGAGGCAGAGATCTTGTGGCAAAAGAATAGGATGTGATTATTGCCATTAAAGACTGTATCATAATGCATACAACAAGGCCGCAATACTAAAGTTGCATGGGCATAAATCTCTCTTGACTTTGAAATCTAAATGACTTATCTTAGGGTTGTTTGTATGTAATTTAGGGTTTTTGTATTTTTAAAGGAATACAATAAAACTAAATCTCATTATGTCTCACTATGTAACAAACCCTATATCACATATCACTAGAATATCAAGGCTGAAACCTGAACTTTCACTACTGGACAGACTTATCACTTGAGCTACAGGTCTAATTACAGTAGCAGTTAAAAGGATAGGTTGTTCTCTCCGGGAAGGGAGAAGCATTGATAACCTGATGGCACCATGAGCTGGGTCCAAGAGAAGCCTGGCCCAACTTAGCACTCTCTAATACTCCCTGCATCCAATGTGGTGGGAATTGTTGTCCAACATGGTACTCCCAGAAAGGCGGACAGGTTGCCAGGGCAATGTGCTGGGTCCCTGGGATAATCAAAGGAGGGTAACCCCACCCAGCCAGAGTCTCTCACCACCCCATTTCTACTGCTGTGGTGGCAGCTCCCTGGTGTTCCCACTACCAATCTGCTACTGCTGTTTTACCAGGGTGTGGGCCTAGTTCTTTAGAAAATTAAGGTTCAGTTATTTTGGTATGCTGTGAAAGTTCTTGAGGAACATAAGCAAGAAAAGGGAATTGACAACTTTAAACAGTTTGTAACTCAGCAAAACGCAAATGGGATTTCATGGGACAAAGAAAAGGAACTTTTCTAGCCTGAGGGCTTTCTCCCTGTCAAATTTCAAAGTCCTTCTGCAAACAATGGAGATGTTAGGAGCGTCTCAAAAAAGAATCATAGGAATCTTTAACAATGGAAAGTGTTAAGGACCCTAAATATAAGGGTCACTACCAGCTCCCCCTAGAAATACAGGGCATCAGTGCATACAACATATGAACAAGAAAAGAGTAAATTATATAAAACCCTCGGCAAAATAATTTAAAAGTTAGGTGCAGTATTCTGAACATGCCAATAGTATGGATGTGATGAATCTACAATTTAAGTTCAGTTAGTCTAGGAATATAAGGAATAGTGCAGTATTAGTATTCAGTTACCAAAACACAAAGAATTCAGCTGACAATTGTCACGTGTGCCTGCTCTGGTTCCACTGAATCTCTATCAAAATGTATGATAAAGGTGCTATCAAGAAAGCCAAATGTAAAGTTTAGAGAAAATCCCCTCGTTCCATGCTTAACAGTGCAAAAGACTTTGGCCTTATGTGCCAGGTTCCCTCCTGCCACCCTTTCCCAGTGCTTCCTTTTCCAGAGTACACTTCTGTAGGTCTGACTCCCTTCTGCCACTCTTCTCCCTCTCTCTGCTGGTCCATCTCCCTCCTGCCACATCATCACTGTTCAAGGATCTCCAAAAAGAGCAGCTTCTCTCATGTCTTGATTCCAGAATTCCCTCTTTCTTCTCTCCCCACACAGAAGTCTGATTTCCTCCCACTGTTAGTATTCACCATCCTCTAACACTGAGCTGATTCATCACAACCTTTAATCAGCAGTAGTTTTCCCTTGATAAAAATATTAGTAAAATATTACCTTAATAAGTCTATCCTACACAAGTCAAAAAAGTAGGTGACTGGCATTGATTTCAAGCAAATCATACATTTTCTAACTTCCGATTCTTATTTATTTTTACACAAATAAACTAGATTACAACTGATTAACGTAACTGCAAGTAGCAATATGGAAGAATACTGTTTTTCCAAATGGAAAGAGGGGGATTAAATTTATTCAAATAAACCCAGGTTGAGATAAAGGAGAGATTATGTACCAGTAATTAATTCATGTCTAGGAAACTACCAAGATACATGAAAAAGACTGCTTCCAGAAATGGGTTTGGATAAACAAGGGCTCTATTGCAGACCATTTTTATTTTAAAAAGGTCAATTTTCCATACAATTAAGGAAAAGTAAAATTGAAAACACCAAGTACATTTGGAAACACAAACTAAAGGATGAAGTATGACGACTAAATTAAAATGCAGGCTTCTAGTTCAGTTGAGGTTAGTAACTTGCTGGGTCCAGTCCAGCAGGTGCTCAAGGAAGTCACCAAGTGGTTCCGCTTGGGTAACTTGGACTGAAGACCCTGAGCTTGTATTTCAGTTACTTCTTTCTGCCACCAGACGCTGCTACTTCTTTCTCTCTGTAGCCTCACTGCTTCTTCTACTAAGGTTGCCCGGAGGTTCTTCCAGCCCAGCAGCACTGAGCTCATTTAAAGAACTGTCTTTGAGAAAAATTTCTAAAGTTGACAACTGAACACATTTAAGCACAGGAGATATCCTACAGGAGCAGGCCTAGTCATGCAGAGTGAGATATTCAGCAAAACAGCTCAGGGGCTGGGAACCTCAGGTTTTGGGAAAAGGCTTTTGGCAATATCCATTGCAGGGCCATTAGGGTCCAATTAGACAATCACATGGGCTAGCTGCCAGGTACCAGCGTTAACAGGTATTATCTTGATAAAAGTTGAGCCCAGCTGCCTTTTAACCACACACTTGGCTTTTACAGGTTTCAGAGGAACAGCCGTGTTAGTCTGTATTTGCAAAAAGAAAAGGAGTACTTGTGGCACCTTAGAGACTAACCAATTTATTTGAGCATGAGCTTTCGTGAGCTACAGCTCACTTCATCAGATGTGTACCGTGGAAACTGCAGCAGACTTTATATACACACAGAGAATATGAAACAATACCTCCTCCCACCCCACTGTCCTGCTGGTAATAGCTTGGGTGGGAGGAGGTATTGTTTCATATTCTCTGTGTGTATATAAAGTCTGCTGCAGTTTCCACGGTACACATCTGATGAAGTGAGCTGTAGCTCACGAAAGCTCATGCTCAAATAAATTGGTTAGTCTCTAAGGTGCCACAAGTACTCCTTTTCTTTTGGCTTTTACAGTTTCTAGATTGTGGCATCAGGAAGACAAAGGATTTCAGCATTCCTTATTTAAAATTTGCCCATTGTAAACATTAGAGGGTACTTTTAAACCAGCTGATCTAAGTCAAACTATGGAAATCCTAAAAAATGGTACTAGTGACTAAAATTAATATTACTGTATGATTAACTCCTTAACACCAATGCAATAAAATCATCTTCTGAAAGCAAAGCAAATATTTTTAACCAAAAACAAAGAAAAAGTTAGTAGCAGACTGTGTCAGAATGTACCCGTGTCCACACCCGACACATTATTGTAATAATCTTTGTTCAATATCTGCCTTGTGAGGTATTATCTGAAAACTCATAATTTGCTGGTCATTATTGTTCTGGGAAAATGTCTGTGGCAGCATTGTGTGTGAAGTTATACGATTCCACTGTATGCTGTTCTTCACACATGTTCCAAACTGAGGTTGGCAAACAGGTCTGTCTCAAAGAAATATGTGCTACTTAATTTGCATTTAAGCAGTAAACAGAGTCATCAAGCAGGAAGAGAAACAAAAGAAGCTCCAACACGTTAGGAAAAAGCAGCAGGGAATGTCCTTCCCTATAGACTCTGTGTCCTGAATCTCACTTAGAAATGTTTCAGAGTAACAGCCGTGTTAGTCTGTATTCGCAAAAAGAAAAGGAGTACTTGTGGCACCTTAGAGACTAACCAATTTATTTGAGCATGAGCTTTCGTGAGCTACAGCTCACTTCATCGGATGCATACCGTGGAAACTGCAGCAGACTTTATATATACACAGAGAATATGAAACAATACCTCCTCCCACCCCACTGTCCTGCTGGTAATAGCTTATCTAAAGTGATCATCAGGTGGGCCATTTCCAGCACAAATCCAGGTTTTCTCACCCTCCACCCCCCCCCACAAATTCACTCTCCTGCTGGTGCTAGCCCATCCAAAGTGACAACTCTTTACATAATCAAGTCGGGCTATTTCCTGCACAAATCCAGGTTTTCTCACATCCCCCCCACCCCCATACACACACAAACTCACTCTCCTGCTGGTAATAGCTCATCCAAACTGACCACTCTCCAAGTTTAAATCCAAGTTAAACCAGAACATCTGGGGGGGGAGGGGGTAGGAAAAAACAAGAGGAAACACGCTACCTTGCATAATGACTTAGCCACTCCCAGTCTCTATTTAAGCCTAAATTAACAGTATCCAATTTGCAAATGAATTCCAATTCAGCAGTTTCTCGCTGGAGTCTGGATTTGAAGTTTTTTTGTTTTAAGATAGCGACCTTCATGTCTGGGATTGCGTGACCAGAGAGATTGAAGTGTTCTCCGACTGGTTTATGAATGTTATAATTCTTGACATCTGATTTGTGTCCATTTATTCTTTTACGTAGAGACTGTCCAGTTTGACCAATGTACATGGCAGAGGGGCATTGCTGGCACATGATGGCATATATCACATTGGTGGATGTGCAGGTGAACGAGCCTCTGATAGTGTGGCTGATGTTATTAGGCCCTGTGATGGTGTCCCCTGAATAGATATGTGGGCACAATTGGCAACGGGCTTTGTTGCAAGGATAAGTTCCTGGGTTAGTGGTTCTGTTGTGTGGTATGTGGTTGTTGGTGAGTATTTGCTTCAGGTTGCGGGGCTGTCTGTAGGCAAGGACTGGCCTGTCTCCCAAGACTTGTGAGAGTGTTGGGTCATCCTTTAGGATAGGTTGTAGATCCTTAATAATGCGTTGGAGGGGTTTTAGTTGGGGGCTGAAGGTGACCGCTAGTGGCGTTCTGTTA